AGAAAAAGGAGAGAAAAGACTCAAATCCACATAATTAAGAATGAAACACTTTGGAAGAAGTGTTTTTCTTCAACTGAAGAACTATGGTTTTTGGCAATTTTAAAAAATCCTGAAGTGTGGGAAATCAAAATGATTTTTTTTTATAAAAGGCAGAGTAACTGCTTAAATCTTTCCTTTTAATTGTTTTCAGTATAAGAAATTAGCAAAACTAAGCCAGCTGTGGTAACACACGCCTGCTTGGTAAGCACAAGGTCCTGAGTTCCATCCCTGGTACAAACAAGCAAATAACAACAAACCCCAAAAGACCCACAACAGCAAATACCAGTATGTCACCAATGGGATTATTAAAGTTGAAAACTACAAAAATAAAACAAACAACCCAAGTAACTAGAGTGAAGAATGGCATCATGTGACTGCAAAAAGTCATACTGTTCAAACACCATTAATCAAATGATTTTAGCATCCATTGATGATCTTTGGTAGGTTGATAATTCCACCAGTAATTTACTATTCTATCATTCTTTCTAGGGGGCTTGCCCATTAGCTCAGCTGTTTAAGTGCCTGCTTAAGTAAAGCTGTCAGGCTCAGGATACTGTGGTTTGATCACCAGATCCTCATGCCTTACCAGACCTGCCCTTAAGGCATCCTGAGCCAGTGTGCCACCCACCCACAAATATCATTCTTTCTACATTTAGGATGGCACTCCTCTGTAAAGAAGTGTTTTTCTTCAACTGAAGAAGTACAGTTTTTGGTAATGAAAAAAAAAATTTAAGCTGTGAGCAATCAGAATGATTCCTTTATAAAAGGCAGGGTAACTGCTCAAATCTTGCCTTTTAATTATTTTCAGCATAAGAAATTAAGCCAATTGTGGTAGCACATGCCCATGATCCCAGCATTTGGGAGGCTGAGGCAGGACTACTGCCAGCTCAAGGCCATCATGGCTATAGAGTGAGTCCAAGTCCAGTCTAAATTACATAGCAAGACTGTCTCAAAAAAACAAAAAGGAGGGGGAAAAGGAAAGAGGATGAGGAACAAGGAGAAATAATTAGTAAAAAACAGCTATATCTAATGATGGTTATGCCATTTTTCTCCCCTTAGCCCTAACTGTGCTTCACTGTGGACATATGGGACTTAATTTGTTCAATATTCTACAATTACTTGCAATCGTTATTGTCCTCAGAATACCCCAAATATAGCAAAGGCCCTTGGTGTTCGTTCCAGTGTTCTGACATTCTGCTCGCCTCTGAGACCACAGATTTACATCTTTTTTTTTTTCCTTCACAGCTTTACATCTTAACAAGATGTCCCAGTCAAGTGAGTTCTTTCATACTCTATACAATATACAAGCTTTCCAGGAGGAAAAGTCTGGGTCTACAGGGGGCTCTGAACAAACTCCTGAGAAAAACAGTGTTAAGAGCAGATGTGTCATATCATTGTGGTTATTTATCAAACCAGTCTGAGGCGGAGGTCAGAAAGAAATTTAAGATCATCAGGTTAGGCTGGGGATATGGCTCAGTGGCATAAGTGCCTGCCTGGCAAGTGCAAGTTCCAGAGCTCAATCCCCAGTACTGAAAAAAAAAAAAAAAAAATATTGGACCATTAGGTCCAGCCATGGTGCCAATACTCACAGTAGGACTCCCCAACAAATGCTGCACAACCACTGCAGCAAACTCGCCTCCCTGGGACATCCATTCTGTCACAGAGCTTCCCTACACCAAACTCGACATTTCTAGCTTCTCTCCTTGGAGCCTATGCATCGCTGTGAAACTCAGGCTTAAAGGATAATTCTTTGGCCAGGAAGATGGCTTAGTGGCTTGGTGCCTGTTTGGCAAGTGCAAGGTCCAGAGTTCAATTCCAGGAAAACACACACACACACACACACACACACACACACACACACACACACACACGATAATTCCTTCTTGTCCCCTTGCTCATATGTAAACTGCTAAGTCTGTTTTCTGGATGTAATTGGGTTTATTTACCAAACACTCTAGCATGACTCACAAGGGCAAGCTACATTTTAGGCCCCTTCAAATATTTACATAAAAACACAAACACATTTTGGCCTGGGGGGTTAATTTCTACTTATAGTCCTGAACTTTATCTCACACTCCTACTCCTGTTCCCCACATAGACTGCTACCTGCTCAGCCCACTCTTCCTCCTACAGTTCCCATGTATTCACCAGCCCCTCAGTTCTCCATCTCCCCTGACATTGGTTTGGGCCCCATTCAACCGCTGTGACCTAGTCAGGTATTGTGCTGCACAACTGTAATCCCTGTACTCTGGAACGCTGACGAAGGAGGATCATAATGTCAAGCCCAGCTTGAGCAATTTAGCAGAGCCCTGTCTCAGAAACCCAAAAAAGGCTAAAGATGAGAGCTCAGTGCAAAGACCCTGGGTTCAGTGCACAAGTACCCCAAACAAACAAACATAAAAATCTGTAACCCAAACAAGTACATCTAGCATGGTTCCCAGCACATTGTAGTTACTCAGTAAATAGCCCTGGGCATCTTGGGGAACGTAAGTGACTGATTGAACTGCTTGACCTCACTATTTAGTTGTACTGTCCTCTGTTGGCAGGAGGAAATTTCCTTGAGTTTTAAACAAAAGTTATTTTATATAAAGCAGTGTTTAGAAATTTGCCTAACCATTCTAAAATCTTCTGTCAGCTTGCTTATAAATAAATCATATGTAAGAGCTGGGGAGATAGCTCAGAGGTCTGAGCACCTGCCTGGCAAACGCAAGGACCCAGGATCAATCCCTGGTACCACATGCTGTGCCAGCCCTGGAACCCTGGGTGCACCATGCAAGCCATTGAAACTAGGCATGGTGGCGCATACCTGTAATCCTAGCCCTGAGGAGGCTGAGAGAGGAGGATTTCTATGAGTCCAAGCCGCGTAGCAAAACCCTGTACCAAATAAATAATATTTAAAATTTTTGTTTTTATGGTGCTAGAGATCAAACCCAGGGCCTCAGACATGCTAGGCAAACATCATAGCACTAGATGTATCTGAGCCCTTCATTCTACATTATTTGATAACCACTTGCACAAAAGTTCTTAATGTATGCATTTTCTTTAGGGCTCAGACTTTCTAAAGAATAAACTGCATATGAAGAAATAAAATGCAGCATACTATTAAGTGCAAAATGCTTGGATTCAACAAGAATATAGAAAAATCAATTTCACCAAATACTTCAACCAACCAACCAAATAAACAAAAACAAAAACAAAAAAAAACCCTCTGGTAATACAACTATTAGACTAACAATCAAACTTGAAAAGCCAGTGCTGGCAGACTGGGAGGTGCTTGGTTCACTTCCCTATGGAAACAGACGGTGGCACTGTAAACTGGCTGAGGCTTTCTGGTGAACAATCTGGTCTTAGATAATAACTACAAGCTTCTCACAGCCTTGGGTGCAATGATTCAACTGGAGGATTACTTCCTAGGAAAATAATGTAAGGAGCAACAAGTCTCCACACCCCGTGTAGAGTAGTAGTCACAGTGAAGGCATATTTTAAATTCCCCAAACGGGAAAACCAGGCTACCATACATCCCTGTGTACGTTGCCAAAACGGTATATTAGGACGTCAATTAAAATGACAAGATGATGCTCTATTTCAACAAACAGAGGCATACAGTCAGGCTTAGCAGCAGTGTCTGTGGCTAAGAAGAAAAGCTCTGACACTGGTGCTGTCACTGGCACACTGTCAGCCAACAGTCACTGTGTATTTAGACCATGTGGATCCTGCCTGCAGTTGCTTGCCACAGAAGAGACATGTGTTCGCATTTTCCCCTTTTTCCCCCAGGACCTTGTGCACACTATGCAGGACTCTGCCGATGAGTCTCACCCTAGCCTGAGGGGTGTTTTATTTTGATTTGGGAGGAACTGGAATTTGAGCCCAGGACCAAACTGAACTATATCCCCAGCTTTTTTAATTTTGAGACAGGGTCTCACTACATTGCCCAGGCTAGGCTCATACTTACCATCCTCCTGCCTCGGCCTCCCAGAATGCTGGGATTACAGGCATGTGCCACTACACCTAGTTAAGTGCGTATTCTTATATGAATAGAAAAAAGAGGTGGTTAGAGAACAAGCTCTGGTGTAGAAAAGAAAAGTTCTGGTGTCAGACTGCCTGATTTTACATCTCAGTGCTGTCATTTATGAGCCACATGACCTCAGATAACTGATTTAAGGCCCTAATATTCCAGCTTCAACTTATGTGTCTAATACAGATATTATACTAATCCATAGCTAATAATATGACCTACTCAATAAGGTTTTCATGGGTTGCTGTGAGACGATGCCTTCAGAGGGCTTGGCATATTACTTGCCATGTAGTATATTCTCCATAAATGGCAGCAATTTGCATATTTTAATTATTGTAATACTTATTGATCACACACTATGTTCCTGTCATTTTGCCAAATGTTCTCATTACAATTAGCATCTATAACAACCTTACAAACTACATTACAAAGAAAAGTTAGAGAGATGAACCCAGAGGATCTATGTATATAAGGTTAGTAAAGATAAGGTACAGATGACAGTAAGTAGATCCCAAATACAAAATGTAAATTTAAATGTACTCATATACTTGCAAAGATAGGCACAGTTAGAATTTAATGATTATTAGGTCCACTTTGTTTAAAATTAGCCAAGTGTCTTTGTTTGTCTTTTCAGGTAGAAGCAGGTAGGAGACAGAGGCCCAGTCCTGTTGCGTGTACTGGCCCATGTCCTCCCTTTTCCCTAGCAGGGACCAGGCCTTGCATTACATGTCACTTGAGTTCTGGCTTTTGACCAGCAAGTACTTACCTGGAGGAGATAGAGGAGTCCTGGGACAAACAAGGTGACTGGATACAGAGACTGGTATGTTGCTAAGGCAAGAAAAATAGCACTGAGGAAAGCGCTCCCTGTAAAAAGAAATCAACATGGAATAATCCAGCCTCATCAATCAGGATTAGACTCAGCAAGTCCCTATCAGCACAAAACTTTCCATAGCTACTCAAACAATCACTGCCATGTGCTTCTTAATTTGCAGGTACAATGCAAACAACACTGAGAGCTTCTTAGCTCGATTTCCCATGAAAAGAAACCAAGGAAGTGAAACCATCTGCCGTTAGCAGCCTGACTTCACAGGCATATTTCTTGCAACATTTTCATACCCAGAAAGATTTCACAAAACTTTAGTTCGAAGATGTATAATGTCCATTAACACCTATGTCCCATTTAATGACTCAACTTATTAAATCTATACTGAGTTTATGATATTTAGAACTTTGGAATCAAATCCTTTCAGATTTTTTAGTACCTCAACACTCTTTATAATACTTTTTTTTTAAGTTTATTTATTTATTGTGTGTGTGTGTGTGTGTGTGTGTGTGTGTGGCCAGCTCAGCCCACCAGGGGGCGGGGCCGGCTGGCATGTGGTGCTGGGGGA